GGGATTATTATGTAGGTATAGCGTCGTTTATTAAACGGCGCTATACTTACCCGTCTTTTCATATTCACGTATAACGCCCTTTTAAAAGGCGTTATACCTTAACGGACAAACGGCCGTTAAGGTAAAAGAGCGCTATATGTATTTTGGTCACTAAATTTTTTTTCCACCTATTTTTGTGTCTTGAGTCCAAAAACTCATTATTTTGGTTCCGGGCTCTATCAAAGAACCTGATTCTTTGATTCTCAAAATTCAGGTAAAGCACAATTCATCTCCCTCTTGTGTCGCGGTGCAACCTTAGAATACCACATATACAACTATTTGGAAATCTTACATAACTACTCTAAGTTGGAGGCTCTGCATGCTATGACAGCAAACCGCACATTTCAGTTCTGTAAGAGTAGAAGCGTACAACAGAACATCACGTCTCTGTGAAATCGTTCTAGAAAATCTCAATAAAGTATAGAGATCGAAAGCTTGATCTGTCTGCAAGATTTGAGCGGCTGAAAGTTGCAATGGAACTTGGTCTTTGCAGGAAGCTCTTTGTTCCACTGAAGACATACATGGATTAATGTGCTTGGTTAAGAAAATACCTAAACCGTCATTGACTTGACGTCATCTCGGGGCAGACCGACACTGCTAGACGAAATTTTGCTAGCCATTAATTAAATTAGTTGGTAGTGTCTTAATTATTCTTTGGTGAACAGAATACTAAAGCTGAATACTAAGCTCATTTGTCACAAATTCTTAGCAGGGCAAGAGATTGAACTAAGTAGATATGCTGGCCGGAGATAGTTGGAGAATAAGAGAATCTTCCAACCAAAGAGTTGTAGTCACAGGAAAACAGACATCAATATATTGAAGTTAAAATGAAAGTATTTCAAGTATTCAACTCACAGAAACCAAGCACTGATAACTAACTGCTAATAGAATTATCACCCTACCTCTTAACAAGAGGACTATATAAATCATGATATTCCCAGTTGCTCGTTAGTCAGTTCAGTTGCATCTAACAAATCCACTTGGGTTATTAACAAACTTACGACCTACTCTTGACTGATACAATCTTCTGATCCCACCAATGATTGCCTAATTAAATAATCCAATAAGATTGTAGGATCGATTGGTTTATTATTCTCCATACATAGGACCAAGTGAACCAGAGAAGCCCGATAGAATCGCGAAAAGCAGCACAGTATTCTGATGTTGTCAGACAGTCGACGAATTTCATCCATTAGATCTGAGGGTAAATGATTTTGAATCAAGAGATTATTGAATTTGCATGTTTTGCGAGGAAAGCTTAAAAAAATAGTGCATATCAAATCTTGGTTGAGTCTTGTCCAATGCTGTACAGGTTACCAAGTGACAAACCGAAAAAAGAAAAGTTAGCCTTGACACTAAATTGACGAATAGCTTCACCAAGAAATGTATTCTTGATTTTGTGGGCATTGACTTTTCAGATTTCACTTGTCATTTAAGTCTTACATCAGAATAACTATTAATGCATGGATTCACCCAACAACGAGCAAAAGATTTTACAGCGAATTTTAAAACCCAGTTAATATGTATTCCAGTCCATTACAACAGCCCCCACGACCAGAAAATAGAGGGGATCCAGAACAAAACAAAACTCTAATCCCAACAGCCTGTACAAAGATGTATGGCAGTATTCTTATCTTATAAAAAGCCAAAGGAGCAAAACATGTTAGTCACTCGTTCCATCCATAATTCATGTTGTCAAGATCACTAAAAAAACCATTTTCAGTGAACTCCTGTGTTATATCTGGAACCACTTCATCTGATTGATGAACACTCGGGCGAAAATCTGGAGCTTTCTCGCTGAAACTACAGTTGCCAGCACCAACAGATGATTCACGACTAGAAGCCGCTTTGAAACTGTTACTTCTGCAGGGGGTGGGTCCTATAGCGCTTGACTCATTTGTAGTGGTTGCACAACTATTGTTTCCAAAACCAAGTCCTTCCCTAGAAGCATTACCATCTGACCTCTGCGCAGCTCCACTGCTATTAGTATTCATATCCTGGAGGAATCGCTGCATCATTTGCTGGTGCAAGGCCTGACTACCGCGGGAGGATTGAGGATGATTTTGCTGGAGTTGCTGTAAGCCATTACTATTCAGTAATCGCTGTTGTGGTTGCAGTTGTTGCTGCACATTGCTGCTTGACAGGCCAGTAACAGGTAAGTTCGACAAGATTCCTTGCAATACACCATTTAACCCTTGCAACAATGTAGATCGAGAGTGATTTGAATTACTGAAAGAAGCAGCCTCTTGTCGAACTGCCATTGGGTTTGAATTCATCGAGTTCTGCCGCATAAGCATATTCTGGTAGTTTGTCAGTGCAGGAGCAGCTTGTGCGGAGCCACTTAAAGTTCTCCGACCATCCATGTGCTGATTATTGTCTATCTGGCCATTAAGCCCCGGATGCAATGCCATAAGCTTGCTCAGTGCACTGTGATCAGTTAGCACCTGACGCTTAGCTGCAGTAACATGCCGTGGGAAGTTCTTTAAGCCCTCTGCAAAAAGAGTGTTGGCATAGTCAATTTTCTCCCCATAAGGGAAAAATAACTCCACGAATTACAAATCTATCATATATATCATAACAGTTCGATAATGGAAAAAAGGGAAATTACCAAATGGCCCAACTTTATGATCTCTGCAAAAGTCCATTAAGTCCTTCATGCTGTTCACAGCCTCAGCTATCTGAACATCAAATGACATCAGCATGCCAAATTAAAGAGCCAATACTCTTTTAATTTACGGAAAAGAGGAGCAGAATTCTCCCTCCCATTTTAAAGTCAACATATTCAAACTACCTGTAAGCACCTCATATGCCTTTTGGAGAATCCCAAATCATTAAGGGACTGCATCTCCAAACTCCTGGCAAGCTGACGTCCGGCTGAGACGACCCTAAAGTGAATAAACTTCAGCATCAAACAATGTGATGTAGAATTGTAGTTTGAACCAATTGCATCAAGTGGAGAGAACATGAACTCCACCAGTAGCGAACAATACATAGTCAGATATTCGCAAAATGCCAATCCCCCAAGCAAAAACTGCTTTAGCCACTAGGTACCCTGGGATTGAAAAAGAGACTTCACGAAAGCAAACAATCATCCAACATGTCTCATATACGAATCAAGTGTTCTCCTTAACTTGTAAACCAAATGAACTTTTTTTAATGGATATGATTCAAATTTAGCAGCACAAAAAACAAAAATGAAGTAGCGTACTGTAAGGGTGCACCACAAAAGATATCAAAGGAGCAACGTAGGACAGAGAGTAAAAACAAATAAGTGAGAGTACTCAACACAAGTAAAAGATGCCAGTCACAGGAAAAAAACGGAATCCAATACGAGAGTTAGAACATATACCAATAGATCAAGCAACGTGAATGAAAATTAGAGTAACATCATCAGTAACCTCAGTAACTTGTTACTCACATATTGCTGTTTGCTTGGATGTCCTGATGAGAAACTCCATTATATCCACTTTCAGTTAATGTAGTCAGGCATTTCTGAGCAACCTGCAGTAACTGATTTACCTGCAGACAAGAATGCCATATGATGACAAGTTGCAAATAATGAAATGGTTGCTCATTCATTGTATGCTCAAACAGTTAATCTACGAGAGACTGACGATCGAAATTGAGAAGGAAATTTCTTAAAGTTGCTAAGTTAAGAGGCAGTATGTAGGTCAATAGGAAACTTCCTATTTCCCTTCTGCAGCCAAAATGTCCAGAACCTCCAACAGAGAAGGGTGGCCACTAGCTGCCCCGGTAAGAAGTCAATTTGAAACTTCCCATTTCCATTCTGCAGCCAAAATGTGTGGAGCCTCCAACAAAGAAGGGTGGCCACTAGCTGCTCTAGGTGGAAGCCAATAGCAAACTTCCTATCTGCCTTCTGCGCAAAAATGAACGTCCAACAAAGAAGGGTCGCTACCAGCTGTCCCATTATAATCAAACTCAACAGTTACAGATCAAACAGTTCACTTGACTGCAAATGTTTTAGTAGCCAGAGGAAGACAATTGGAAACTACTTATTTGCGTTCTGCAGCCAAAATGTCCGGACCTTCCAATAAAGAGTGCTGCCCACCAGCTATCCCAGTGGAATCAAACTCAACAGCAACCGAACAAACTTCAACTGAACCATAGGTTTTAAATTGTAATTCCATCAGCTTTCTACTGGAAAAAACTGCACTAAAGCATCCATGGGAATACTTTCCAAAACCTCTAAAATTGGTTACCAAACAGCTTCTAAGGAAGAACAAATAGTTTCTGCATGCTATAAAATAAGTACAACATAAAAGAAATTAGACTCTTATTGTAACACATCAAAAAGGTGTATATCAAAACTAAAATGCCAGATATCTATGTTAATACTGTAATACTTCGAATGAGTACATCATGTACTTGGAGGGGACATCTCTGCAGAAGAACCAGAATAACTTTTAAGAGCTCATGTACCTGTGGTGCAACTAATCTTCGAGGAAGAAGCTCTTCATGATGCCGTGCACAGAATTCCCATGACAATATCTGGTAAAGGAAATCATATAAATCTACTATTATAGAGCCACTGATCCCTTATAAGGCGATTGTATCTTTCAATGTACCTTTAAATCAGAACTGAAAATAATTCGAAGTTGGCCCTCCTGCACCACACGAAGTTGTTCATATACAGTTTCCTGAACTGCTTTCGCGCATTCCAGCTTCATTAGTCCTGAAGGGAATCTACATTCACGTGGGAAATCCAAAAATAATAGTTCATCAATAACACCACTGCCAAATTTGATTTCATTCAGCCTCGGAAGTGCTTCAAAAGTTGCCTCTGTTAGAAACCACCAAACAAGGAGCAAGTGAGAATGCAAAGCAAGTAGTAGGTGATGGAATGAGGAGTCCAAGACTCAACTCATTCCAAAATATGATAATTGGAAACTCAGAGGTTGAAGCAATATGCATCATTCTCTCACAGAAAGTTCAAGGCTTTTTATGAAATTTTTTTCTTCTGCGCGAAAAGGGCATTTACTTTTTTTTTTGGGTTGAGAAAGTAACATATCCAATATATTAATCAAATCATCAGCAGAGTTTTTACTGGAAGAAAAAATTTACTTCATGAGAAGATAGAAACAAAAACCAAAAAAACATAACTCCTTGTTCTTCTTATAAGGAGCCTAAAACTTCTATGATTGCATCCGGATCATCATAAAAAGTTTTGTAATTTACATTTACAAAACTGTTAACTGAGCAATTAAATCTATATCATTTTCCTTTCTCTTTTTTTGCAGAGCCGCAATCCGATCATCATAAAAAGTTTTGTAATTTACATTTACAAAACTGTTAACTGAGCAATTAAATCTATATCATTTTCCTTTCTCTTTTTTTGCAGAGCCGCAATCCGATCATCATAAAAAGTTTTGTAATTTACATTTACAAAACTGTTAACTGAGCAATTAAATCTATATCATTTTCCTCTCTCTTTTTTCGCAGAGCCGCAATCCGATCATCATAAAAAGTTTTGTAATTTACATTTACAAAACTGTTAACTGAGCAATTAAATCTATATCATTTTCCTTTTTCTCTTTTTTTGCAGAGCCCAAATACCATATGTGGCACGAGAGGGAAAAAATTCCTTTTATTTAGAGTCATAGAGTCAGATGATATTGCTGTGAAATACTTTACCTCTATAGTTTTACTTGCCAATTTAGCAACACTTATCTTACTCTAACAAATTTTAGGTTAATTGCTGCTTCTAGTTTCAAGATGTTTATCACTCCAACATACATTCTAGCAACTGAGCTTACGGTGAAAACAGGACAAGTGGACAACCACACTGTGGCAGTAGAACACATTTTCCACCTTGAGATGGCCAGCAAGGAGATGTTAATGTGCCAAGAATCACTGTTTTGTATGATATCATGTGTAAGGTTCACAATCTTCTACTGAACAAAAGATTATCTTCCACCAATATCTCATGCTACACAAAATACTGTATGAAGAGTACCGTCAGATTTTAGATATAGGTTACCGCTTAAGTTCCCCACTTGTGGGAAACTACTGGGTTTGTTGTTGTTGTTTCCGCTTAAGTTCCAGGTTCTATAGAAAAATAGTCATGTGTTACTTCTAGCTAGCAAGAAGAGGTTTGACTAGTCACTCAGGCTTCTTAACTTCTTTCCTTTTGAGAGTTGTTGGTTTTGGGGGTTTGGAGGGGGTGGGGGAGTTCCTTTAAAATGATCTGGAAATTTTGAACCTCTAATTTGGAGACAGCACTTGTATATCTCATTTTAGGAATTATATACATTAGTCAATGATCATTCATGCATTTTAATGCCACACTTGTACAACTTCACAAGCTGAGATTTCAAAGGTTTAGTTCTTTCAGGAAATTCTCTATGTATTATGGGAATAAGTGAAGCTTCTTCAATAAATTGTTCCATCATAACAGTTATTTGAAGCAGACAAGTTAACAACTTTTGTCATGCCTCCCTAAGATTTAAAGTAGACATTACAGGGTAATTATGAAAATATAGTGTGCCACATCAACTTAAATCTAATGTTGCATGCACACAAAATGCGATGCACATACACTGGATGAATTTCCTCAAGCCCTTGTATATCTCATTTTAGGAATTATATACATTAGTCAATGATCATTCATGCATTTTAATGCCACACTTGTACAAATTCACAAGCTGAGATTTCAAAGGTTTAGTTCTTTCAGGAAATTCTCTATGTATTATGGGAATAAGTGAAGCTTCTTCAATAAATTGTTCCATCATAACAGTTATTTGAAGCAGACAAGTTAACAACTTTTGTCATGCCTCCCTAAGATTTAAAGTAGACATTACAGGGTAACTATGAAAATATAGTGTGCCACATCAACTTAAATCTAATGTTGCATGCACACAAAATGCGATGCACATACACTGGATGAATTTCCTCAAGCCCTCCAAGCAAATATTATCAAGTTTGACGATCTCCTATTGTGTAGGTGTTCTAAACTCAATTTACGAAGAATACCCTATAAGTTAATTGACACTACTCAAAAGTGACAGAATTGAGAGAATCTAGACCATGACATAACAAGCACCAGAGTTTCATCACTTGAACCTACCTATGCTAATGTGTCAACTTTAAATAAATGACTAATAATCGAAAATGAGATGACTAATTGACCCACTCACCAAATCCTCTTCCAGATTTTGAACTGCAAATATCACAATGCCATTCATCCTGCTGGAAAATAAGGAACAAGTGAACATGTTACAACATGATACTTGTGAAATTAGTTTAAAAAGGGGTTCAGGGGAAGACTGACTTAAGGAAATGGAAAACCATACAGCAATACACATTGTATTGAGCAAATAGGTGCAAATGACATTACAAGTAAGACATAAAAAAGCAGATATACTGTCCACATCATTCTCTTTGAAGAAAACCCTAACATACACAACTCCATCAGCTAATAGCCATAAGTCATAGTACCGTCGCTCCTAGACTTAAGAACCAAAATTTTAATTTTCAAGAAAAAAAAAAGGAAAAAATGGTAGTAATAATAATAATACCGCGTTAGCTTGTGGTAATGCACCAAGCAAAGGATGCCCAATGTTATCATACAACGACAAGCACCATCTCTTCTTTGCACGTGGGGAATAATATTCAGCTACAAACTTTCTCCAATAGGCAATTGAGTTATCCTAACAGAAATTTAACAAATCAAATAAACAAATGAGACACATGAGATTCTTTTAGATGGAGCCTTCTTCATAATGAAAAACAAGTTCACTCACAGGAGGTCGTTGTCTCTGATGGTACAGGTACTGCATTAACCGCCGAGAGCACAAGACACTATCGGAGGGATGTTTCATGGCTGATACAGGCTGCACTGCTTGTTGTTGAAGTTGTTGCCTTAACTGCAGCTGTTGCTGCTGCTGAAATAGCTGGGCGCGCTCGATTGGTGAAATTGAGTGCAACAGCTGTTGCTGCTGTTGCCTTAACCCCTGCTGCTGGATCAAGGCTTGTAACTGAGGGCTGGGGTTCTGCAGGTGCAAAGGGTCCTTTCTCTGCAATAACTGTTGCAGAACTTGCTGCTGTATATCATCCTGTTTGATGTCTAAACGCGGTTTCTTTTGCATATGGGACAGAGCAACATGATCTTGACGGAAAGATTCAGGAACTCTTGGTTCTTGATTAGACTTTTGCTGAACTACAGAGGATCCATACATGCCTGATGAACCAGAGATGCTAATATTATTGGAGGAAAACGACATAGGTGATGCAGGCAACCGTATGTAGGACTCTGCACTAATGCTGGCACTTCTCTGAAACCGAGGACCTCCTGAAAGTCCTGAATTGGCATCTGTAACCAAAGAACTCGTGCCAAAACTTGGACCTGAGCTTTCCACACTATTCAAAACTGTATTACTAACATCCCCAGAAACAGGACCCATGCTTGACTGCACATTTCCAGGTAAACAATTTGATTCATCCTCGAGAGATGACCACGTGCGTGAATTACCCGCAACTTGAGACTGCTGATCTCCTTGGTAAAAGATACCAGAACTTGAAGATGAGTGTTCCACCTCTCCAGCCACCCGAGAAGGCACCATTGGATGCACCGGCTCTTGCTGGCGGGGATCCAAGTAGCTCTCTTATGCAAAAAGTTGGAAGAAAATTTTCATCCAAACAACCTAAGAAATAGTAGCAAACTATTGAACTATAATTCTTCTTCACCAACCAAATACAGCTCTAAAATGTTCTCCAATTTGACTATCTGCTATCTAACTTGCAAATGATGAACCCAATTAAGATGATATGACAAAAAATGCGAGCAATGGAAGACTTAAATCTGGTAAACTTCTGAGCAACATTAAAAAAAGGATAGAAGATATCTAATTAGCAGCTATAACAAAACATTTCTCAACAAATTTAAGAGGAGACAATAGTATAAAATCTTCTCCTTTCTGACATGTCTACTACCCAACAAACAAATTGTGAACCCAATTAAGCAAGTAATTAAAGACTTAAATTAGATACCCAAAGGATAGCAGAAGGAAAATTCATTATCAATCATGCTATGACTTATGAGGAAATAGTATACAATTATGAACATATAAATTAAAATAGCAGCAGTAAAAGAAATTATACCCCGCATTACAGCTAAATTACACGGATAAATTACTAAGACACATTTACAGGTACCCAAAACGTGGGATCACTAGGAAAATTACTCAATTTATACAATTATATCAAAAGAGCAACAAAAGGAACAAAAAAGAAAGAGAAAAAGATCAACACTTTACAGTTAGATGGGTAAAAAAGATTATACTCCTAGCTAGCTAAAATTTTAGAACACAGGGGAAAAAAGAGCTAAAAACCTTGTAACAAGCAACTAGTAGAATTTCAGCGAGCGACAAAATTTGATTGGGATTTTTATACCCAGCGGGAATTGCTGCGCACAGTGACCGGTTGTAGCCGGTGGGTAACCCTTATGAAACTGTTTGTAGCAGGTTGTCATAAGGACACGTTTCAGTTGAGCTATTGTATTTGTACGTGGCATTGTTTTATTCGTTTGTCATAAAAATTGACAGCTTAGCTGGGTAAGCATTATAACTGATGTATGTAAACACTTTTGGTGCTAAGGTTGTTTGATGATTTTGACAGTTCTTGCAAGGCAAAGTTTAGTTTTGAAGTAACGGCAATATTTGTAACTTTGAATGTGTAGAAAATCCGACGTGATCATTGTTTTAAAAGGAAAATTTGAGATTCGTCTCGGACAAGACAGTCTGTCTATAAAGTTTGAAAGGCTAAAATAAGGGACTAATGCTCGATAAATAATTATTGTCTCATACACATTTTACACACCTAAAAAAGGTACCGTATTGTCTTTTTTAGTCCGTGTCAAAAAGAATGACATCTATACCTATTTGGAAACAATTTAACTTTATACAATGATTTATAGCCACATAAAATATATGTGCCTCATTTTACACCACAAATTTAAAAATCTTCTCTTAAACTTCGTGCCCAATCAAATGAGTTCACATAAATTGAAACGGAGATAGTATAGCCAAAACGAACGAGGGAGTGCTTCTTAATTAATGTGACATAGTTTAATTGGATACAAGGGATTGCTTCTTAATTTGCTCGTTAATAATTAAGAAATGTCGACTTAGAATATTTCCATGTGCATGTATTAATGTCTTGATTAGTTAAAACTTAAAACAATTATGTACTACTCCCATGTCTTTTGCTTTAACATAGGTTTTTGGTTTTCATTTTGCTTCAGATGCCAATTAATCTTCATCAAAGAGATGCAGATGCCTCAGCTAGACGCACTTTAATTACTACAGAACGTTTTAAAATCACCCAAACTAAATATTAAGCAAATTGTTTTTTCGCTCAACTCAAATGCGCGATCCAAGTTTTACCAATGGGACTTTCAACTTCAAAACAGAACAAGTAATACTAGCAAGTCTATTTCAAGTACGAGACCAATTGTCAAAGCCATGCTAGAGTGACTGGAATTTTGAACATATGAAATGCAAACAAAGACATGAAATTTTGATGTTCCAGCTGCTTAAAGCATACTTCTACAGCACCACTCAGCAAGGGGACCGTCCCTCCACATATGACTCCAAAGTCAGAGGCTGATGCCGAACAAATTAGGAGCGAGATCTTTCTCTAGCTGGAGGTGAATCGCTGCATTAGAAACAAATAAGATGACTTGCGAAGCTTATTAGCAAGAAAGTAATTGAGGAACTGTACCACAGAGCACAGATATGCAGAACCAAGAGCTAAAAAAAGAGAAAACAATGTGCAAACCTCCTGTGTCGTTCTGGAAGAGGGCTTTCTGCTGCAGCATATCCAGGACTATCAATTTCTTCAGGTTTAGACCTTGGGCTGCGACCGCGATAACCATCTGGGCTCTGTTTCTCTCTCCTCCCCCTTGGAGGACTAGGGCTGGCTCTACGATCATCCAACATTCCTTCCTCCGGTGGACTGCTCACATGGCCATTTTCAGAACCAGCTCTCAGCCTCCTAGGGTTTGGGCTATGACCATTTCCTTGATCAGGGTTCCTCTCCTTTCTCATGCTTGGACTATGGCCACGACCATACTCAGAATTCCTTTCCCTATGATTGGGATTTGGACTAGCGCCACGACCATAATCAGGACTTGACCTACCATGACGGAGTGGACTTGGGCTACGGACCCGACCACGACCGTAATCAGGACTTCCCCTCTCTCTTCCATAAGGACTCCGAGATCGATCTCGGTCATAACCTCTCCTGAGACCACCCCTATCACGGTTTCTATCAGGACTAAACCCAGTTCTCCTGTCATCATCATCTTTATTTGCATATTCAACTGTAATGACTTGATCCATCAGTTTACTGCATCAGAAAGCAAAACATGAACAACAAAGGTTGGTCAACTATGGCAGTGGAAAATATGGAAAACTAGGAAAAAGTTTGATAAGTAATCACATTATAACAACTCATAATAAGAAGATACCTCATGTGTGTAGCATCCAAGGCTCTAGAAGCATCCTCCTGCGTTTCATATTGGACAAACGCAAAATTCCTTCTAATCCTTATATTGAGTATTTTTCCATACGGATCGAAGTGCCTCTCTATATCCCTGCTCCTAGTATTATGTGGATCAAAATTTATGACAAACAAAGTCTTCGAAGGTTTGACGCTAGATGAAGATTTCCTAGAGCTCTCTGGCCTCCTACTGCTACGCTCTTCCTGCAGCATAGCCATTGAGATTACCAAGTGAACTTGAAGATTTTCAGGGGAGAGGGATCTGAAGACAACAAATGGATTACCTTTGACCACTCAATGCGAAGTCTGCGGCCCTTTCTACCAAATTCTATTCGGTCAAGTCCACGAATAGCATCTTCTGCATCTCTTTCATCGTCCATATAAACAAAAGCAAAACCTGAAATCCCACCCCAGGAAACACCAAAGATTAAATAAAAACTAAGGAAATGAGAACAAGAATCCTCAAGTGAAATATTCCTCAATATTCAAAAAAATGAAAAAAAAACTCCCATCAAACAGAGATGTAATTATGTAAACCATCTTAACTTTACATCTCAATCATAAAAATGACCACTCTGTCAAATCTAGAAAAAATTTTACCAGTAAAATCAGTAACAGACCTTTGGTGGTGGACTAACAGATTTCAAGTAAAGGTGCATGTCACATGAGGGAACAATGTAAAGAAAGTGCCTTCTCCATTTTAATCTGCTGCCTCAGCATCGAGGTCGGCATTGTGAGTTGTGACAAGTCTGTAAAATGAAGGCTGGGAAATGGAGGGCAATAGTGACTGAGGAAAATGTATGATTGTGATGCCATGATGGATCAGAGAGCTCTTCTAGGAGACAAGAAGAGAACACTTGTCACAGCTAGGAAATGAAATGAGACGCCGTCCATCAGCCATGATAGTATGGACATTGCAATGTTATCCTGCGCCAAAGAATAATTGAGTATGGGGGTTTATACTTAAATACACTTCTTTGTAAACATATCCTAACACCCATAAGAAACTACACATCTTCTGCTGTTGAGTCAAATGATCTGAACAGATATTCAGCCCATCGGCATAGTGCTGTTACAATGTGAAGCATGAACGTGGTGTCCCCTAGCAAACCAACTATTCAAGTCCTTGGACAGTTGAATGTATGGGATAAGTGCCGGTGGGACTTCTGAAACTCTAGACTTACCATACTCAGGTGACATCTTTTAACTGTAGCTGGTAGGAGCTACTCCTTGTTTCATGAATCAACTGTTTTGCCAGCACATCAGCTTTACTAGTTGCTTGTTATCAAAAACATCTGTAGCCGGACATCATAGAACCTAGTCGAAGCTTGCCAGGTAATAAGTTACATAAGAACTGTTTTCCTCAGATTGGATAGAACATGGTGTATTGTATGTCCAGGTTTGATACGCAATTAGCCGGACGAACACTTTGGCAACTTATTTCATGCCTCAGTTTGCAGTTGCATGGAGGTAACTCTCAACCAAATAAAAAACTGTCCAAATAAATGGAAGTGAAATCTTCCACCATCCCACTAGACGGTCATATTCAAGCACCTTACTGCAGGACCATCAGATACATGATCCAAACTCACCCACAACATAGAGGATAATATATTAAAAATAACAAGGTAAAATATATCGAAATAACACCACTGCAGCAAGAAGGCTTTATTTGAAGCTAGTTAATCATATACCCAATTCGTCTCACATAAACTCCTTTTTTGGTATAGTAACATGTATAATCTTGCAGGACAGAGATTGAGGACATAAAGGTCATTCCAGAATCCAGATAAATAGTTCTTGTCCAGAGGAAACTCAACCAAATAACCAATAAGAGCTTCCAAATAGATAGCACAATATCATGTTAGAAATAAATTATACACATAAAATCAAGACTGTCGAGGCATACCAGATTTCATATCCACCCTATCCACCTTTCCATATCTTCTGAAAAGCCTCTCCAACTCTGACTGTCTGGCGTTATATTCAACATTCCCACAGAAAATTGGCCTCATCCCGCCTGAGTAGAAGATGTCAAGACTCTTTCCACCCTGAGATCATACAAGAAACATTGTTGGTGAAAAGGGAAGAGAAACAAATCAATTTAGTCCACTTCCAGCATACATAATGTACTTCATCAGTACACAGCAAAACATCAGTTAAGAATGCCAGCAATCATGCATCATCTTGCGCATTCTTTCAAATATTTTTTCATCTTAGTCATCGTATGATGAGTTAGATGACCTTAATCAGCGATGCAGAGCATTTGAAGTAACACGTGATAAATTGTTTGACAATAGCGTAATAGTTGCTAGATATATTCCACCTAAAATGAAAACTTCCTGCCAAAAGCTTGAGGCGGCCAATAAAACAGATACTATAACATACAACAAATTACAGTTTCTTTTTTCAAAAGTTAACATACCCAGTGAACTTGGGAATTGTTGCTTTTCTGAGGACACTTGATTTCTCTTGAATTTCAGCAATGGTTACATACATCATCCCAGAAAGATCATTATTTATTTATTTTCACTATTTGAGTATTTATTTTTTTTCACTATTTGAGTGTCAAACCTACTAAAATTTTACCATGATTTTCATTCAACTTCTAGTATTTTTTCATGCCATTTCAAATCTTTTGAGTTTTACTTTTAATAGATGACTTGGTTTTAAGTCCAAAGATCAATCAAAAGTAAATTTTGAATAAAATCAAGAAAGATAAAGTTCCATTCAAAAGCTTAAGTTACACGTTTAACTTTATAAAACAAGAAACAAGTTCAGCTTATCAAAACATAACAATGCAACGCAAATAGCCAAGAAAAAATCAGCCCAAGTTCTTCCATATACCACTGTATTTCCAGGACCCAATTTAATAACTAACAAAGACAATATTGCTCCCACAATGCATCAACCAATCATCAACTATACCCCATTCCCAAATTAGCTGGAATCAACTATATGAATCCTTTATATTGATTCCGATCAATTTCATTCCGATACTAAATAATTTGCCTGTTAACATAAAATCAGAGTTTCTAATTCTCACACTTATCCCTGTACAGAAGTACAAGTCTTTCCACACAATACATGCTTAAAAGAAAATTGTGGCAAGAAAAATGTATTTTCCACTAAATATATCACCATGTTATTCTAAAAGCCTAAATGTTTATTCCATTTAGCTTATGTGGAAGTTCAGGCACCAAATATACTAGTACCAAGCTGATTTATCTTTGAACGGATTAATTTGGGTGACAGGTAAATTAATAATTCACCAAGCCCATTAAAATTTGGGCAGGTTGAACAGGTCGTGGTCAATTTTGACAACCCTAGACACCAACACAAAGAAATCACTTTTTCAATCTACACAAAATAAATCGTCTAAAATATTTAACGAAACTAAACAACAATATTAAATTAAAAATAATGAATAGCGGGTTATAGGGTTCAGATTTCTCTATTCTCCTGAGACAAAAAAAAATATTCAGAGATCCACATAAAATTAAAATCATATCTTAGAATCAAGGTCAAGAAGACAGATCTTAGATTTACCGTGTCCCTTTATCTTTAATTGATTTTTTAAACGGTTAAATAGATCTGGAAAAAATAGGAAAAACATAGTAGATCTGATACATGAGAGGGTTAAGAAGTTTTGTTACCTCGTTAAAGCAAGAGAAAATTGTAACTACAGCGAAGCTGAAGCTGAAGCGGAAGCGGAGGTACAGAGGCTGAGCCAAAATATCTTTTCTTGACGCTATCGTCAGTGTTATAAGCAGCAGGAGCAGGGGCGTGTTTCGTTTTTACCAAAATAACCTTCTACCGTTTTTTTGTATGTCTGCACTTGTCCTAACTTTTTTTGTTGTAACCTGCAAGTTTAAAGTTAAGATTCTCCATTAGATTTGATATATATTGTTTACTAGTTGTTTACAATAACTAGTTTGACAATAGAAGATATTAAACTTGACTAATATATCATATTAATGATAACATAACACTTATTTTTTTTAAAAAAATTTTTAGGAAAATCGCAGCTGCTATGCTCCGGGTGCGCATTGAATAACTTGCTCACTATACAATAACTCGCAAACTACGTATGAGATGTAAACCGGACTAGACAAACCCGATACTAACTACTTTCTTTTGTCCCTCCATTTTATGTAACTTAATTGTGAAGTTTGAACAAAAAAAATTTATTTAAAGGATTAATTTTAGTCGACTTAAGATTAATATATTATTGTGTTTGGTGGTTGTGAGATACAATTATCAAAATAGATAACTTGGCCTAACCTCATGGGCTATAAAGTTCAAAAGCTCCTGACCTAATCATTCAGTTGAATGGACTTTCAAAATGTCGGCACAAAAATCTAAGTTCTAAAAGAGTTAAAAGGATATCTAAGCCTAACTCTAACCAACAAATTAGTTAAGTTGAGCCTATTCATTTATTAGTATGTGTGTTTTTCGATAAACGTTGACCCGTTTGAAACCATACAAACCTTCTTTGTTATCTTATGATAACTCCCAAATTTTTATATAACAATCTAAGCATTATTGGCCTCAACTTATATATTCGAACTTGGGACTATGGACCATTTACAACCTTATATAAAATTATGGAACATATGGCCTAATTTCATGCTCTTATAATCAAGTCATTTATGGGTTTCAACATATATATTGAATTTATCAAAAAATATTTCAAATTGTATACAAGATATCTTTCATAAAATCATAATTTGAAATTATGTAAAATTGAATACATATCATATATTTAACAAGATAATTTATAAATATATATATATATATATATATATATATATAGTTTGCAAATCATGGTGTGATGCAAAATTGTTCGCCCCCACAAATATAGGTTCACATTTCAAATAACATTAGAAAGCATTTAAAGCATGTATTTTGAAAAAATAATCCTAATTTTGTTGAGCGTCAAATAACTCAACACGTCCCAACAACGTCAATCTACCCCAATCATAATTTAACCATACAATTTATGGTTCAATTTATCCAATTCAATACTTGGGTATTGGCCTTAAGCCACTCAAATGCCAATACTCACCCAAAGCATTGCCACTTTATTCATATGCTATCTATACAGCTTATGGTCTTACAAGATATCTAAATACACCTAACCACTATTCTTTTTCTCCAATAATATCCAACAACCTCCATTAATACCATCAAGCTATGATTCATCTATAATTTCACTAGAGTCATAAGTAGGTATTCATGGATCGATTTGACTTGATTTTTACTAAAATCAAAAATCGAACTAACTCTATCAGTTTGTTAGATCGTTTTTGGTGATCTCGTTGAAGTTTTTCATTTTTGTTGTTACATATATATAAATTCAATATTTAATTGCTAGAATTATGGATGAAATTTGGATAAGTCAATTATATTTTGTTATAATAGAACATTGACAAACATATAATTCATTAAAATATTTTTATGACAAAAATATTGTAACACATGATAATTATATTTTTATTCTAACAATAATCTTTCATTCATTTATTCTTTCAAGCTTAACCTATTACAATAATTAAGCACAACGATTAATATATGAAATCTATATGATGAAATGTTCTCATTTAATTTTAAAACCACTATCCCAAAATCGAGGATATAAGGGTTTACTATATTGTGACCTGTGAATACGACAGATGAAAATATTGAAGCATTTCAACAAATTTGATAAGAAAGTGATTGTGCACGTTAGGACCAAACATTATTTAAAACTAAAAGAAATAGATGCACTATAATAGATCTATCAAATATTAGATCTCTTGAGAGGGTCAAAAAATTTAGATATAATTTTAAGGGAAAATCATATATAAAGTTTTTAATATATATAACAAAATATATTTATATGTTGGTTTGGTTCGATTTTTCCTTGTTCAATATCAAATTAAATTAAATATATTCAGTTTTTAAATCGATTTGATTTGACTTTTCGGTTTGTTTTGAACACCCTAATCATAAGTACAACTCCTGAATACTCTATCCATCTCATCTGCGCCAAATAAATGAAGGTTCGTCTCGTTTATCCCGTTCTGTCCCGTCCCGCCTATCCCGTTTGTCCCACGTATTTTTTTTAATTTTTTCTTTTGAAATATAGTTGTTGGGCAACGGCCTCCATTGCAAATTTAGCCGTTCCCAACGGCTATAAACGGTCATATTTGGCNCTATTTTTAACTATAAATACCCCATCCTTCTTCATTTTTTTTTTCACAAAAATCAATCATTCTCTCTCAATTCTCTTACATTCTATCTATATTATTCTCTCAATTTTCTCACAATCAAGTGATCAACTAAATTTCAAGTATTTGGGTAAATTTTTGGAGCAACTTTCAAGCTTTAAATTAATTCGTCAAGTATTTAGAGCAATTTTTTTGGCAATTTCTTCAAGTTTCAATATTTTATATAGGAGCTTACAAATATTAGTATGATAATTTGTAATTGGCTATTAAGAGGCTAGTTCAAACAGAACCCTTCCTAGAAGGTGGCTCCGTAGATTAGGTGCTCTTCAAAAGAATTATATTTGTATGTGAAATTTGAAAGTTCTATTAATAAAATAAAAGGCTCTAAGCCTTGAATTTTTTTAGGAATTGTCTTACACTCTTACTTAGTTACTTAATGGCTTGAAATTATATTAAATAAATTACAACTATATTATAATTACAAAAATATTTCATTACAAGTCTTTTGTTTTAATATTTTATAAATCTTACTTAGTTTCTTAATTTTTTTATTATTTATTAAGTTTTAAGTTTATTAAATAAGTCAAAAAACTAGTCACTGCAAATTTTAAAAACTTAGTCATTATCAAAAAACTAGTCGTTGCCAAACTTAATGCTTAAATAATTATTTTTTTTAAAAAAAAGACGGCCC